GAGTAAAATAATGATGCTTTTTAAATACAGTATCTATGAACCAGTTCAATTTTGTATATTCAATTAAGCCATAATAGACGTCACACTCATTAGCATATTGGAAGTATAAACCTTTATAACTTAGAAACGCATCACTCAAATCAAGAAATATTTTACCATTCAACTATTTACTTAATGTAGAATCAGTACTGATAGTATTGTCGAAGGGTTCATTTGCACTAGTAACTTTTTTTCTTAAAAAACGCATTTCACTCAATGCTTTTTACAAAAAGTGAAAATTATCAAAGCACAAAAAGAAAATAAAACTAATGAAATATATGTATTTTATCTTTGTCAGATTATATTATATATCTATTTTATAACTATTGTTTTCATTTCTATAGATATTCTACTTTTCTAGTTCATATTTTACTTGATAATGGCGTTATGCAACGTCGAAACATCGTCACATTTTTAGCGTTTTTTATCGTTCAATTTTATTATAAAATGTTTAAATAAGCTAAGAAGTTACTTATGAAATATATGTAATCCAATATAAATACATTTAAAAAGTAGATGGAAATAGCGCAAAACATGAATTTACATAAGAAGCATAATGCCATCTAGAGTAAAACTCAATTGTTGATAAACAAGTTTAAATAAATATGTCATGAGCTTTCTTTGGAATGGCTAATATATGCTTTGTCTAGAAACAACTGGTAGCCGGCGTTGCCTAATTCACTTATCTTCCCCGCCAAGAAATACCCTTGTGCACGAACCCTTCAAATCTCCTTGACACAAATTCGCGGATGCAATTTCAGTATCCGGCTTTCGCTTTATTTAATTCATTATAGTAGCATTGAGATCTTAATCAGATGATCTGATAGCTAAAAGTTAGTTTTAGCTTTATCCTAACACAAGATAGAAAATTCTCGATGCTTTGGAATCAGGTGAGTTCAACTTCAAAACAAACTCACGGTCAACCAATCAGAATCGGGGATTCGACATTGTATTTTGACATAGCATTTCTCATGATTTGAAATATTAACTCTTCATTCTTTAAATTAATCGTAAACACTAGTCAAACTCATGGCGGAATTCAATTTTAATAGACTAGAGAAATCTACATTGTACTCAGCCACTGCTTGGAAAATTCTAACCAAAAATAGTTGACCCCTAAGTTTTTTTCGCGTAACACGGTCAACTCAGCTGGAAGGAAACTCGACGAAAAATATGAGGCTTAATTAGCGGAAGCGAAACCATCGGATATTTTGGTATCGTTAATAAAATTTTTACACAGTGTTAAAGTTTCCTTTCGACTGATAAGGAGCAAGTCCTTTTAAGCCTGTCTCGTAAGTGCGCATGCGCAGCCCGCAAGGAGATACGTTTGAAACTTGATTGCTCTAACGCACTTGGACTTTGCTAATTCGTGTAGGTTTATCTTAACTTTAAAAAGGAGCAATTATGGAGAGAGGGAGTACGAAGTGCGCGGCTGATTATTTAATCTTACTGTGAGATCAGCTACTTCCTAACTGAAGCCAAATATAGACTTTTCCCAATCCAAATTTTATCTCAAGCCTTCTACTTAGACACACGATTCGCAGTTTAAGAATCGAATCCGAAAGACCCCAGAGGTGGGGGGTGAGTGTACCCAGCTATGACCCCTTGATTCCCATTTTTTCGCGTTACTGCTTTCCAAGTATATCTTGCTAGCCTGTTACAGCTCAGATTTACCCAAGATATTTCTATGCTGCACTCTTTAATTAAGCATAAAATAAACGCCATTAACCACGACGCCATAGCATTCGAGAGACGGATTAAAGCGATATCTCTTATCACGACAAGCTAAAAATTCACGGCTCCCCTAGCAATTAAAATTCAATTCTAGTTATTTCGTTAAACTATTAAACAAATCAATTTATTTTATAGTTCCCCATTTATTTTTGACTAAGATTGGCTTTTTATGAAAAAAGGTGAACACCACTCGAGGGCATATTTTGAGTGCTCGAAAATGTCTGGGGGGAAAAGAACTACGTAATTAGAAATAACCAGACATCATAACATTTTATTATGCCAGGTCTTATCACAAAACTAGAAGTTTCAGATCAAAAATAGTTTACTGAGACGAATTAAAGTGACTAGCGGATACAAAATAAATTTATGAGCGGTAATAGAGAAAAGAATATTGATGCACCGATGCCACTATAAATTTGTTTTTATACTGATGTCCCTTGCGTATCCGTAATCAACCATCGCCTTCGGCGTACTTTTATTTTAGTCCACATAGATAAAATCAAAACTATGCGTCGATATTATACAAATTATTAATATTCATCCGAACTAATGCAGAGATTAGCCAGAAAAAAATAAAAAAATAAACAAAGAATGATCTCCAACTGGTTATCCTCACTTATATTCTCCTATTTATTCAAAGCCGCGATACCATTTTCGTTAATCATTCGAGCAAAGATTGGTCCAATACWGAAGAACAGAAAAACAACAAAGACACCATACTACTAACTCCCACTCTTGATTCAATAATTGATGTTCGCTTTTTATTTCAATTTAAAGCCGCGAGATGTTTTTTTTAAGAAGTTGATCAAACGTGGAAACCAAACACACTCCTCCTATTTATTAAAATGATTGAATCTTCTTTCTACCTTCAATAATTTATAATTCCAGTTAAATCTATTACGAATTTAATCGATAAATAAACTTATTAATTCAGTGTGAATATATTGGAACACAGGTAGCCCAAGCTTGGTTTCTGTGGTGTCATGTTATAAGGAAATGTATGGAGATTCATCAAAAAGTTCAATAAGATCATTGAAACGTAAAATAAAGCCTCGAAATTTTACCCGATCATTGAGAAATAACACTTCTTTCGCTCTGTGTGGTTATTTTTTGAGTTTAGCCCGTTTTAAGGATTTTTTCCCCCACCAGTAAGAAATATTATTACTCTTATTTCTTACTGGTGGGGGAAAAAATCCTTAAAACGGGCTAAACTCAAAAAATAACCACACAGAGCAAAAGAAGTGTTATTTCTCAATGATCGGGTGAAATTTCGAGGCTATATTTTACTTTTCAACGATTTTATTGAACTTTTTGATGAATCTCCATACATTTCCTTATAACATGACACCACAGAAACCAAGCTTGGGCTACCTGTGATTGGAAGCGCTCGACACGTAACACATTGAAATTTTTAAATCTTCCAATCAAAGAGCAAGTCAGCGCACACTGTCCAGTCACGTTTGAAGAGGAAACCCATTGAGCTTTCAGGGTAAGGAAAATAGAGGCTTTGCACCATCACGTGACCACACTCATAATACTGCTTGGATTGCCTGTGGTTAGATGGCAGAACAATAAAATCCAACTAGCGGATGTGAAGTCAAAACATGTCAAAGTAAGTCCTCAAACTATTGTATTTGACTATTTTTACGACATGAAACCAAAAAAAAAACCAAACAAACAAACAAAAACAAAACAAGAGATCAAAACAACCTCCAAGATTCTACAAGCCATTAAAAACGCAGCTATTACCGGAAGTGACGTCTATTGATAGCAACCTATACAATGCAACAATTTTAACAATGCTTACTCTAAATGTGGGCTATAATTCATAGTTCTAACTCAGATGATAGCGAACCAATCACCGTTGTAGTAGTTTTCCAGTGGAATTAAAAGCTTGTCCAACGAACAACTACACAGCATCTGTTTTAAAGAGTACTACAAGGACTACGAGACAATTTTCTATTCTTTTCGCATGAGAGTAAACTATTGAAACAATTTATAATCAATTTTCCGCGATCAGAGTCTAAAATTCTGAGATATTCTAAATCATTATTATTTTGTTAAGCTTGTGGGACATAGCATTGATTACTAAGGGGAGTCGGAACTATGAATTGAACTACCTGTGGATTCTTGGATACTCTAGTCATAGACCATAAGTGGTCTTCTTCTGATACTCTCACTGGTCTTCCTGTGGATTCAGATACTCTAGCTGGTTTCCTGTGGATTGTCTACCTTGAATTTTGGTGCATTTTGAAACCAATTAGACTGCCTTATCTTCCTTTCGCCAAATAAATGACTTTTCTCTTTGGTCTTCCTGTGTGATTTTTCACCTTCTCCCTATCACGTGGTGTGCTATCTCTTTGGTAACATCCTCTTAAAAGTCAATCCAAACTTTGATCGTGTCTTGTTCGTAGACCTCCTCCTCAATATAGACTTCTTTTCTTCTTCTACCATCTTCAAGTGTTCATTCCCATTCAACTGCTTATCCGTGATTGGATCATTTTCCTTTTCCTTGATAGCAATGGCTTTCTTGACTTCAAAATCTGAATAGCTATAGAACTGTTTGCCTGACTTGGGTTCAATTATAGTGTACGATGATAACTTTGGGTGTGGTTTGCCCTCAATAGCAGAGTTACCAACCTTAGCTTCACTGTTATGTCCAATATTATCATTCTTATTCAGTAAGGAAATCTTCTCTTCTGAATCACTTTTCTTAATCACTGTGAATGATGTGGTGGATGGTTCATGATCCATCCCAGACTTGCTCTCGTTAACTCTACTGTCTTTAGCAGTAACATAACCAGGGATAGAACAATTTTGAGTATTACCCACCTGAAACCCAAAATGCACAGGCGTACGGTCTCCACATGGTGTACAGGGTGAACTACGTATAATCTCTCCCACATGCCAACCAGACGCTGCTTGAAAGTCATTTGTTTCCCACCTGAACGAAGGAAAAGATGCAGATCTTAGCCTTCGCTGTGGTGGTATGTTTTTGCGGGGAGTTGAAATGTGCAGGGACGAAGCACTGTAGTGTAAATAAGGTACTTTGTTTCTTGTGTAAATGGCTGGTATGCTGGACCTACCATTTTCTTGTGCAGAAGATGCAGATGTTATTCTAACTGGGCTTCTTGGTCTTCTACGCACACTGCTACCTAAGTCTCTCCTTCGTGCTTCGCTGTAAAGCCTTTCCTGACCATCCTCTTCTGTTTCTGCCTCAATAACAGATTGTTCAACCGGTTCAGGAGTAAAGGCATTGTAAGCAAAGAAAAAGATGATACAGATGACGATAAAATTTGCTGATATGCAGACCAAGGCAGATGTAATAGGCCAATTGAACAGAATAAATCTATAGGAAAAGATAAACAAAACATAAATATTATGACTTCTACAAACGGGAAAAACTGAAGAAGAAATGCAAGAAAAATAGAATATTTTTTTACCTTAGACCTGAAAACTGTGCTTCTATTCTTAGTAAAGCACCATATATTTCAACATGCTTTGCCATGATAATGATTTTAACACTAGTCACTGGATGGTACTGAAATAAGAAGATGAAAATGAATGAATGAAAATGATGAATAAATAAAAAAAGCATGAATAAATGAAAAGGGTGAATAAATCATTCATTCATTCATTCATTCATGGATGGATGGATGGATGGATGGATGGATGGATGGATGGATGGATGGATGGATGGATGGATCGATGGATGTGAACCACAACGTACTGTAGTTTGCCAAGAATTGTGTGAGACACTGTTCAAAACATGAAGGTCACTATAAAACACTTGGTACAAAACGTTTTAATGTAGTGTGCAGTCCTATGGATCATTGCATGGACAAAGTACTTACTGAATCATCAACATAATTTTCAAATAACTTCACTGGTACACTCTGTTTCTCTTCAGTGAAGCCAAATATAAGAGGGAGAGCCATGAACACCGAATACATGACTTTTAAATGGGCTGATCTAAAGTGAAGCATACACTGTGGATGGAAAGAAAAGGTAAGGTTAGCTTTTGTAAGCTGTAACACATACTAAAATGCCAAGGAAATCAAACTTGTGAGCCAAAGTACATAGTTCCAGAAAATATGCCAACCCCTTGCCCTAAGAATTAAAAAATAATCAGTAGATCTGACTAGAGTACCTTCATTTTTTCTAAAAATTACTTTTATCCTTCGGATGTCTTTAACTGCAAACACATACCCCCTATCAGATCGCTTAAATTTTAATTAATGGTTTATTGAATTATTTGATGTATCATTGCTGTATCCTCTACCAYGTAGGACAGCTGATACAGTGATAGTACAAGAAGTCCCTTGAATGATGTGCATTATCAAATGCAGCAACCACAAAGTGAGATATCACCTCCTCCACTATCTGCCCTCAAACAAGTCAGGTATGGTACCAGAATATCACCCACACTATTTACTAAATAAACCCCTAAGTTTTGGCAGCTATGGGATATGATTGGTTTATTAATATCTGAGGATGAGAAATGGTAAAAAAAAAAAAACATTTGACAGAAAAGTAAATCTTAGAAGGCATATGTGATATTTATTGTTGTTTGTTGGCATAGTTTTCTCAACTAGTCTTATTATTTTACTCCCACTTGTTTTTAAAAACCGAGTTTCTTTGCTTTGTTTTCAATATTTTATTTCAAGTATTATGCTTCTGGAGTAATTTCAATAATTTATAAAATGATTAAAGCACATTTCTAACTTATAGGTTACTTACTGATTTTGATGATGTAGCTACAACCTTCCCTGAGTTTGACAAAAAATTAACATTCACCATGAACATTCCTGTATGAGTATAACAGAAGAATGCTTTGTTATTGTCAACCAACATGTTAGCTATGATGTAACATGTACCCCAATAATTTATTTTAAAGTTTTGGCAATTTTCTTTTGGCTAGTAAAAGATAAGGAATTCAAAAGAACATCAAGAAAAAATTGGACCCCTGGGACACATAACTATTATTAACAAACGAATCTGAAAAATGGAATAAAACGTACCTAGTCTTTCATTTACAGGTGAATAAGGCATGTCTAAATCAAGAAACACTTGATACTTTTGGCCTCTCATCAATATCTAAAGGATAATAAAATGACAACATTTATTCAGTAAATTATAGTCAATACAATGCTATTATTACAATCTACGAATCAATATGCAACATAGCATGGAAATGCAAAGTTGCACCATACATCCACCTTGGCAACACTTCTCGCAACTGCTGCAAAAGTGCAATCTAGTTTGACACCTTAATGCAAATAGTCCCTTTCAAGTTCCTTGTCCCAAAAAAATTTGAGCACAGCTTTATAGAGTGAAAAAAAAAGAAAATGAAAAATAATAAGAATATGAAAAAAATGCTTTGTCATACGTGATTTGTTTGAACATGTAGTGACATGCTTCATGTCAACACCCTCATGACTTCCCACCACGAATATCAAGGCAGACTATGAAATCCTGTGTTATCTTCATAAATATTCTACATCTTAAAGAATACATTTATGTTTTTTAGACTCAGCGTTGACTTACCCTCTCGCCTTTACTAAGGCTCACATTAGCTTCAGGGAAAGAACAGAGACCTTCCCGTGGTCTGCTGTTACAGTCCGTCCTTGTAAATAAGAATATAAAAAAACATAAGTTAGAAGCATTTGCAGACATAAATGGAGAAGAAAGAATGGTTTTAATACTCACGAGAATTGTAAGTAAACTGGCTGAGTGTAGTGAACTGTCGGCATATATGCATAGTAGAAGCTGATGTACATGAGAACCGCAACCCATACCAAAGCAACCACGGTACAAAATGACAGACAAAATCTAACAACAGTGTCCCGAAAAACGTTCCCTGCACCTATTGTGGCATCCTTCAGGTAGGATGCAGCATCTACCACCGACATGACGGCTTAGGGTTTACATTTTGATTCAAAAATTAGCTGATAAATGGAATTTCTTGGGACTCGAAAGTCGGAGTCAAATCACATTTTACTTTCTTTTTCTTCTTGGTCGCGCAAAGCATTAGCCTCAGATGACAAAATTAACCAATCATAGGACTCCATTCCATCTGTGTTTACTTTTGGGCTTCCTGTGGCAGACATATAATCCAAGATGGCGGACAAAAGTGTTTATGTTGTTGGAGTTGGGATGACAAAGTTAGTAAAAAATCTTTTAAAAAATCAAATACTTCGACTCAGCTAATCAAATTCATGAAATCATATTATCTTAATTTTAGGTTTGAGAAGCCGTTAACCAAGAATTGGGACTATCCAGGTTTGTTATGTGGACTTTTATTTGATCCCATTGCGATCTCTCTCGTGCTCTCATATAATCTTTTTTTTTTTTAATTCAATAGATATGGCGCGGGAAGCAGGAACGRCTGCTCTTAATGATGCTGGCATACCATACAGTCTAGTTGATGCAGTAGCAGCTAGTTATTGCTACGGAGAACCAACGTCAGGTTTGTATAAGTTAGGGACAAGTTTTCTTCAAGGTTGTTTGTTGGCAAGATTTGTTTTGTCAGATTTTGAATGTACCATAGCAAATAAACCATTCCCTAATGTATTTTATTTTTGTTATTCGTAGGGCAAAGAGCAGTATATGGTATGTAAGAGAGTGTTGTCAGAACATGTACCAAAGTTAAATGTGGAATGAATAAATAAATGAATAAAATGAATATTGAAGGTTATAATGATGACTGATGCTGATGATAAAGATAATGATGATATGTGTGGTGATGCTGCTGCTGATAATGATGATGTAAAGATGATGTGATGATGATTTGATGATGATAATGGCGATGATGATGAGAGKGTGATGATGATTGCATCAAGATATTGGCAATGATGCTGTGATGATGTGGTGGTGATGACGATGGGCATGGTGTGTTGATGACGATGGTGTGTTGATGATGATGGTGTGGTGATGATGATGGTGTGATGATGATGATTGTGTGATGATGATGATGGTGTGATGATGATGATGGTGTGTTGATGATGATGATGATTATAATAAAATTCCATTGCAGAGCTTGGTCTAACAGGTGTCCCTGTATTCAATACAAACAACAACTGCTCATCAGCATCATCGGCAATTATGTTAGCAAGACTAATGGTTCTTAGTGGACAGTACCAGTGTGTTCTAGCTGTCGGTAAGTACAACAAGTTAATCATTCTTGTCCATTATATTCTTGGCTCCATCTCCCCTAAGTTAGCTGCTATTTCCCCTCAAGCTCAAAGATTCAGCTAGAATATCCCAGAATCTAAAACTCTGATCACAAAAAGCTGATTATATTTGATTAAATTGTTTCCTGAAAATTCATGAAAATATGAGAAAATGTTTGCAGCACAAAATTATAATTCCACTGGGATATAGCTCAGTGCTGCAACTTTGAGTGGATGGCTATTGCCTGAATAAAGGTACAACAAATAATCCTTTAGCCTCTCTTGAGGTACCTGCTACTAGTGCTACCAATAATGCTATTTGTAATATAAGGTTTTGAGAAGATGGAACGAGGACTGTCAGAGAAATTTCAGGACAGGGCATCTCCCATCAGAAGACACGTAAGCCACATGGAGAAAATGGGTGCAAAACCAGGACT